CATCGAAGCGTATTACTTAATGCGCTAAAATTTTTCAGCTCTAGACCGACTAGTGGCAACGTCAATGCGAACGCCATATTGATACTTTTCCTTTCGTTAAGTTAAGTTTGCATCACTCTTTTTGTCTTATTCTCTATCTTAAAGTCGTCCGAAGTCGCTAATTAACTCTATCTTCACGTTAATACGATAATCAGAAAGGGCGTGGTATGTGTGTATGTGATATACGCATAATGTTATAATGTTATGTTATCTTGCGAACACGTGTTACATATATAACCCGACAATTTAAGCGGTTCTGATATGCGGTCAGATAGAATATATTTATTTTAAAATTGTTATATCATAACAGAACATATAATAAGCATTCTTTTTTACGTAGTTAAATATTGTCGGTAAGAAATACATCTAAAGAGATATATATGTGTATGCAAAATATTGTTTTGTATAAATTTAAAAACAATCGTCAATGCAGAGTGTTTTACATAAAAAGATACCATAGAAAAATGTTATGTCATTCTGAGAGCAGTGGTTACATTCACTGCGAAAATGTAAGAATTAACTCGCGGTCGTTCGAAGAGCGGCCGGTCGTTCGACTGATATATTTGCACGAAACACGATATATTTGTGTGTATGTCATTGACAACGATAACTGAGTGAATCGGCATTATTTATTCTAGTCGCGAAAAATTAATTGAAATCGATAATCGACAATGTCGATAATAACATGTGGTAGTCTTGACACAAGTATATGGTATCTTCAGTAAATTATTGTTAAAAAAATATATACACATATATATTTAACAAGGTTTTTGTGCAGCGTACACTTTTTCGACTCGTAATTCTTGTATATTAACCTGATATTATTATTATTCATTGTAGTAAAAAAAAGCACGAAAAATTATGTTATGCAAACTAATTATGCAAATTATATACTAATAAATGCGGAACCTATAATTGGGGCCAACTGCTGCTTAGGGCTTATTGAAATGGGGATCAGTGTCAACCGGGAATTAGAAAAGAAAAGTATTACAATTTGAAATTCTTATATATTTAACTAATGAAAGAATTCAAATCGTTAGTAATGCTTTTTTTTCTAATTCCCGATTGACACTGATCGCCATTTCAATGAGATAAGCAGCATTTGGTCTTAATTATAGGTCCCGCATTTGTTATGTAACATTAGTATGTAATATTAGAATGTAATATTAGTTTGTACAATTTTTCGTGCTTTTTTTTATTACGAGATTTATATTATAACTATGATCGAGCGGGATCTGCTGTAATCACGGGAGTGTTGGGAAATATGTTTTGTGCATTCAACTACACATCTCGATTTCTATTGTATCTATCCATTTTTATTTATTTTTGTCGAGGTTGTCGTTTACTCTTAAGATGGTCCAAACGATAATCAGTCCGAATTAGGAATTTGGAAGTAAGATAGACAGTATTTGTATTAAGTCAACTGCAAAAATTATCTAGTAAATACTTTCATACTATCGTCATAAACTCCTAGTTGATCATTTTATATGAAAGTTTGAACGATCAGAGTAAGACAACAGACATCTGCATCAACTGCATCGTACCATTGATAATTTCGTATCAATATAGGAAGGGCTTGGGTTGACGAAATTTGCAGCTCGGACAGGTTGACTGTAAAACATAAATTTCGATTGTTAGAACTGGAAAAAGTAAATACAAAACTATAAAAGTTATATTTTTAAATGAAAAACTTGCTAAACTAAGCAAAAATTTGTATTTATTAAGCAAATATCTAGGATTGTAAAAGATAAATCTTAGAACGATTAAAGGCATTAAGAGAGTATTATGTAAAACCTATTTTTTCATCTGCTAGATCCTATTACTGTCATACGTATTATTAACACAAGGAGAATAATTCTATGTATTTAACATACAAATAAATGGTTATACTATTTTTTAAGAGTGCATATTAATTAATTAAATATTAATTTCTACGATAAGATTTAATAAACAAGAAATTTTATCAAGCAGGTATACTAATGCTTGGTTATCTGTTTTACATAATGAAAATATTCACGAAATAAATAAATTAAACTTCTATTTTCTATTTCATTTTAATATAATTGTCTTATTTATTTTTATAATTCAAAACGATTTAATTAATCTCATGAATAATTGTTTCTTTTTGTGAGCGTCAATAGGATTAAAACATTTTTGCTCCGTTACACTGAGAAAAAATATTTAAAAATTTATTTATAACATTTAAATTTTATATTTCTGTAAAATAAACTTTATATTTCTCACAAATAAATTTTCAAGTATATTTTTCTCAATGCACTTTTTTTATTGACATTTAACATTTAACTAACGGTGGCGTAAAACTATCGAATTATTTCATAAATAGTGCAGATCTTTTAACAATTAGAAATTACGTAAGTTATTAGGACTGTTAAAATACAGATAAAATAATATAAATATTATTTGTTACATTTTTCTAAATGTAAAATACATATAATCGTCATTTTAATAATTACAGTTCTGGTGAGATAAATTTTTTGTTTCCCTTTTCTCATTCTTTAAGAAGGTTATAACGCTTAGTGTTTTATTTTCCGAAACGCATCAAGGATATTAGTTATAGACTTATTATTTATTGTATAAAATTATGTTTCTATATATTTGTTTCATTATCTAAGTAGTAAATTTTGATTTGAGACACACACACACATACACATATGTATGTATATATGTATGTATGTATGTATGTATGAGTGTATGTATGTATATTATGTATATTTGCATGTATATAATACGTATAATATTATAAACATTATTTTTTATTTTTTAAATTAATATTTTATTTGTGTATTAGTTGATTCAATAGAGATGCATAGATAATAGAAACTGGTATATAAGTGTTTAAATATGTGCATATGTTTATGTATTTTTAAATATTATTATAAAATATGAACTTTCTCTCTCTCTCTCTCTCCATATTTTCTACTATATTTTCCAAATAAAACACTTAATAAATCTGGAATTTTTATAATTTTAGTGTATTAGTCTTTAATATCATAGTAGTTTTGTTAAATCCTTAATTTTAGGGAGAATTTGCAAAAAATTAAAAATAGAAATTAAGAATAGCAAGTTAATAACATACTAAGGAACACGTATAAAATGTGTCAACTTTAGTTTCAAATATCTCAATTCTTAAACGATTAATCTTTTTCTAATTACGCAAGCAG